CCAGCTTCAACTGTTTCCTTAAATCATCTCTGAATTCTGTTTAAGAAGGGGAAAACTGCAAGATGTTTGGAGCAAAAATGAAGTGAGTCTATTTCTCAAATTGAAAAAACTCAAAAACTCGAAGGAGAAAGAGGTAATTGAGGCGTGAGGATTGCAAGTAGACAAGGTGAAACAAAGGTTTTTTAATGAGCTCCCCCATGGATCATAATCAATTTTAGTGTCATCAATTATAGTGTCATCACTCATCATAATATTTTTGATGTCAAAATAACACGTAGTAATCGATTATAACCCATGCAAAATGGATTGTAATCCTTCTTATTTTTGAAGTCAAAGTAGTCCATTCTAATCAATATAATAGATTAAAATGAACTCTTTGAGAGATTTTTGAAAAAAAAAATTTACAAAACTGTTTTAAGTATCTCAATTCCTGGTTAGTGCAGTTGTCATCTATTTCGTTTCATAAAATTGCTTACAAATCACGTTTAATTTTATTTTAAAAATTATATTTTTCGATTCTTTTTTTTTCTAGAAAAAAAGAAAATTAGTCAATATTTTTCAACAAACAGTCCAATTTTTTATATATAATCTGCCAACTATCATTTTTCGTTCCCAACTCAAGGGTGAACTGCTCACTGCCTCTGGTATTCAAAACTGAAGTTGCAAAAAAAGTTGTGGTGTCAGGTTGTTCTAAATTTTTTCGCATGTCAACAATGAATTGTACTTTTCAATAGCATCATACTTTTAAGACTTAATCATTCTGACAAAAACACTATGATTTTTCATAACCTATAAGAAACAAAATTCCACTACATGCAAAGCGGGATTGGTTTTCGTCAACATATCTTTTTACATGTTTCGGCAATTTTTTTGTTTAATTTATACTTAATGCCAAATTAAGGGAAATATTGTTTTCAGTCATCGAGTTTGAACAAAGTTAATTAACCGAACACTACTCATTTTGACACCGAATTTTAACTTATTACAGACATAGACACGCAAAAATGGGTTTTAAAAACTAATTAACCTAATTAACCAAATTATTACAGATTTCCACACGCAAAAATGGGTTTTAAAAACTAAATAACCAAAACTAAAATTAATAAATAAAGGTTATTGTTTTTGGCCAATTATATTGCTCAGGTTCAATGGTATTCTGCCATTAACTGTAAAGGTCAAATATTTGTGCAAATAGATTTTTGATAAATTGTCAATCTGATGAGTGCCACCATTTTAATCTGCTTCAATCTTAGTTGTGATCAATTAATTGGCTAAATATGGAGCATTTAATCGACTAACTGGTAGATGATCTAAAAAAGTAAGAATTTGTAAATTGGACTTTTGATAAAGCAATTTTTGAGCTGTTATGCAAAATAAAACTTACAAATCAAGCAATTTTGTTATTCTTTATGTTAACATACGTAAAGGTATCAATAGGTTTTGCAAATGAAACAAAATTGTTACCACTTAAAGAAAAATCTAATTTTTTCTAAATTGACAAACCATGAGGTCATGCGTGCCAATCTATAAATATGCTCGGATCTTGTTAGCTATCTTCCCTTCTCTGGCTTCAAATAAAGGATTGCGACCTGTGGTACTGCTATGGCAGTGGCCAATAGTCTGTTAAATTTTATTAGGTAATATGATATAATGCCGGTCCCGATCAATGTCAACCATGGTGCTTGATCTAAGAGATCACAATCAGTTTCAAATTGCCAAACTCTAGAATACTTTTCAGTAAGCTATTTATATATACTCATAGAAGAACTATCTTCGTACTTATTGTGTTCAGTATTACGGACACTTTGTTTATAATGATACCAAGTAATATCACATGATGCAGCCAGAAGGATATGCAAACCAGGAGAACATAACAGATTTAGATATTCCGGCATACTGGCCGTCGGCGTCAAACGACTCCATATGATTCATCAAAATGTGACTAGATCAGTTTATGATGGCTGCCACTGGGAAGGAAAATGTGTATCCCCACATAATTCTCGATCCACAGGAGCTTGTCATATCAAAACCCGAACGACGACCAGAATCAGCGCGGCCAAGTGAATTCAAGACTGCAGCGGGAGTTTGAATCAAGCAGGTCAAAATGGCAAGAGAGAGATCGATTCAGAAAAAGCGAAAAGGACACAGAGAGGACCAATACTTTAAAATCATATTTTCACTATGCAAGTTCAACAGAAACTTTATTCGTAGTCTTTTGGTCAGAGGGTATGAACAGACTAATATAAACTAAACAACATTTGAAATATCGAATTAAAGACTCAAAGACCTGAATGATCTGAGCACGGCTACATTTGAAAAGTTGAAAAGCGTAGCATACGGAAAATAGAAGTTGTTTGCTCGGCCATATGAAGCAAACGAGTTGCTATAAATGTTCCATGCGGAATTAACTGCACAAGCAGCAAGGTGAGAACTGGGAAGATTGGAAGATGTGCTAGTGTGTGGTATGTTCATATTGCGTATGAAGAATATAACATTACAAGGCACTCTTGCGTTCGAGACTTTGGCTCCAAAAGCAGTGCTGAAATGGGAGCAAAGGTGCAAGTTTAGGAAACAAGCAACACAAGTGTATCAGACGAAAACAGTCATTCCGCAACAAGATCGAGTAGTCAACTCAGTATAAAATTTAGGCCAATACTGAATGTTCGAAATCAAGCGAATAGAAAGTCAAACTGTTAATATAGAAACTTCCGCCAACAAACAAGAGACCGAGATGAAGATAAGAGAAAAACATGCACAAAATGATGTAGAATTTATGATGAGAATCAATTGAAAAGCTGCCCGGTAAAAACTGCAAGAAACCAAATCATTTTGTGTAAGTCACATCCTGTTAATGAAATCACTGAAATCACAGGACACTCTTCAGAAGAATCAAAGGCGCAGTATGATCTGGTCGAAAAAAACCTATCTCGTCGGGAGGACTTTGAGATAATGGCTATTGAACAAATAGAACAAATCGAAATTGAGACGTAGTTGCAGAGCAAACAGCACAAACAAAACAGGTCCAAATGAAAAAAATGGAAATCAGAAGAAATCCACGAACAATCGGTTAAGGCATTAAACAGATTAGACAACCAATTTATTCACATGACGGTGGATAAGCGGAGCCCAAATTCGTTTATCAGTTCGACTGCAGCAAAACAAATATTAGTCACCATGAACCGCAAAACTCATTGAATAAGAAAAGTTGAAAGTACAAGCGTTGCTTCTGAACTACACCAAAAAGCCAATAAAAATCAATGGATAGTTATAAAAGAAGATGATATCAGCAGGGTGGATGAGTTCGGAAATCATTTTGTTGACAACAGAAACAATAACAAAACGCTTTAGGATTGGATCTGCCAGAAAAACTAGTGATTTCAACTATTCAGGTGACGGTACCACACTCGAAATCTAGTTTTACTACTAAAATGTGCTGAGGTGGCGCAAGATTACAAACAAGATTTTTTAAATTTAAAAACCTCTTTGATTCAAAAAGAGTAACAGGAAAACACATTCCTCATTCGAAATTCAAGCTTCCACTGTGCCCGATACAAAAAAAAACAAAGACGTATCCGGATACACGTTTAAGAAACAATGCAAAAAGATGTGGAAAAGCTGCTCAAAGATGAACTAATACAAACACATGACAAATGTAACAACTATAGTTTTATAGCACCAATTTTCATTACAGTCGAAAAGGAAGATACAAAAAACTGGCACTAAATGCGAAGCCAATCAAAAAGTAGTGTTACAAAGAAATTATCAGATGCCAAACATGGACGAGTTTTTAGATGAGTGAGTCAGATTGTTAAAGAAGAAAAATTCAAACTATTTTTTCCGTGTTAGATTTAAAGTACGCATACAGCCAGATAAAAGTAGCTGCAGAAACAGTCAATCAAGGTAATTTTAACATCGTTGGGGGAAATGCTAAAGGAACATAGGGCAGCCATTGGCCAGACAAAAAGGCTGACCGATGGCTGCCTGTTTCCGAAAGCGATGGACCGTATCCTCAACCACGGCAAAAAACATTCAGTTGGAGAATTGTACATACAGAAACTTTCAAAAAGATCAAAAAAGCGGTGGCAAATACTTCGAATTCATTGTTATAGCCCAAGGTATGAAACCAATGAAACATGCGATGCAAGCCATGGGGATTTAGGGGCTACCTTAGAGCAAATTACCACCCTCGGCCAGTGGGCACTAATATCATTCACGTCACGTTACTCTAATATACAAGAAAAAACAAGACTCAACTAAAGAGCTAGGATTTTTGGCAGTAGTTTGGGCAACGGGCAGGTTCAAACATTACTTACTAGGAAACAAATTACCTTTGCTATACGCAATCAAGCTCTACCATTGGTATTAGTGGCAAACAGAGCCAAGAAAAATTATCAGACCAGATCAACAAGCTGTGAGGATACATTATTACTTGTCCAATTTAAAATCAGACATCTACCTGGAAAGGACATGTGTATAGTAGACTACCTTTCCCATTGATTGAAATAATGGAAAGAAACAGTTTATGATGAAAAATTTGTAGTAGTGTCAAATGAAAAAATCTATGAATTTTTACGCTGCATAGGCAGTTAAAAAATGAGCGCACTGAGCTGAAATGGAACTAAGGCGATTTCAAACACAAGCAGCTGAAGTAACGTCATAATGACGACTCTGGTTGCTATCACAAAAAAACCAGTCAAAAACTGAACACAACTCCAACCGAACGAAAACGGATGTACTAGAAATCGAACAACACGAAGTTCAAACGCTTTTTTAATTGCCAGCAAAAGCATTCCGTCGTCAAGAAAGATAAACCAAAGAGAGAAAAAAGGACAAAGACCCAAACACCAAAAAGCCTGAACAACTCGAGTGGAGATGCAGATATGGAAACAGACGATATTGAAAAGGAAGAAGACTCACCTATGACCGAGGAAAGAAACACACGCAAGAAGGCCAAAACAAAATCGTCATCAAATGGAATTCGCTGTGAATTGTGACAATAGGCGACCAGACGTAAAAACTGAGCAGTTTATCTTCTCAACGGATGACATAGTGGCTGAAACGGATAGTGAAGAATTGGACATCAAAAATAACAGTCCAAAGAAACAGAATATGCAAGTCGGACACGGAAAGTTCAAGAAGTTTCGATTTTATTGAATGACGATTAACTCGTTATACCAGTACAAGCAATTTCTTCGCAGCACTAATCACAAAAGGACAGGTATCAACTGTCACAACAGCTAGGGACTGAGGTGTTGGATCATCTTCAGCACTACTGGTTTACCATTCACGGCGTCTCAACTTAAGCGAGGAACTGATTAAAACATGAAAAATTGTGCCAAAGGGACAAATAAGACGCGATGTCAGCTCAATTTTCAAATAGCAGTCAGCAAATGGGAAAGAGAGAGAACGACAACGGGGCTGAAAACCTTCCGGGAAGCAAATGCGGCTCGCAACGAAATAAGACGAGATATAGCTCGCAACGAAATGCAACAGAACATGGAAAAAATAGTGCCTACAAATCCTGATCTGAAAGGATAGTTGGAATATTCGGAAAACTCGGCTTTTTAGATAGAAAAAAAGTTTGATCACAGTCCAAAGAAAATTTAAACGAACTTAATGGATAGGAAATCGGTGATGGTCATTAAAAACCAAACTGACTGTCATGAAAAGCGCTCACAATTGCAAAGGCAACCCCGATAGACTATGAAACAGAGTCAACCATCACGACCAAAATGAGACAATCGTTTGGAAAATCAGACATCGCGATTGCGAAAGGAGACCCGTGGGAAAGTTAAAAGAAAAATACTGTCATGGTAAAATCACAATCGCCTAAAGTCGAGACAGCAATGGAGTCAACGCTAATTGACTTAGAATCAAGTGATGACATCACAGAATTCTTTCTGCCAAAGAATTTTTTCGTACGACTTTTCCTAAAAAGTCAAACAGTGGTAACATTGAAAAACACGGTTGCGAACAGTAGAAAAAACTAGAGGGCTCAGAGAATGAGACTGAACAAATGAGGCCCACGTTCGAAACGTTAAGTTGAGTTCAACAAAACGCCCTCCGAAAAGAAACAAAAGCTGTCGGCACAGGAGGCTAGAAAGTTGAAGGCTATCGCTAACGCAAAGAAAGACCGCAAAACAGCCGGATGTAGTGAGCCCAGCAGAGAGTCCAGACCAATGGCAACAACTCGGAACAAAAAGAGCGAGAGAGAACCAAAAAAGGGCAATCAGAAAAAAAATGGCGGCAGAGGAAATTTTTGACGAATTTGGAAAATTCGAAGCGATTCATGACGAAAGGATTAGAAATAGCAGAACATAAATTCAGCAGAGGCATAGAAAAAACTGTTGAAAGGATCTGTCTGAAGTACAGTCTTGAGCCAATTTCGTCCGTTGAGCTGGGGGAAACGTCACGAGAAGGGTCTGAACCAGCAGAAGAACCGATCAATAAAAATATACAGACGACTCTTTTAAGATGATGGCAGCAGACGAGGTCAGAAGTAGCATGAGATCAAACAAAAACAGTTAGCCGACAAGATAGGGGAATTCGGTAAAACACTCGGTGAAATCAATAGAGGAACAGTCACCAGTGGAGGAAGAAATGTTACTAGAACTGAAAAAAGTTTCGCTAGAAGCGTACAGGACAGAGTTGGCAACAAAAAAAAACCGCGTACAAAAAACCTCGAAGCGACCCAACCGAGGGTTGGTTGTATCAATTGGAAAAGTATCTTTCCAAGTGAATGTTTGGACAAAAAACGTTCGAACTCGATAAAGCATTTGGGGCAGAGTGAGCGAATCTACTGAAGTAAGAAACGGCCAAGAAGATGCTAATGATAAGGCTGCCAACAGAAAATTCTTTGTACTGGCAAAACTGAGACTTAAACTCTTGTTTTCACAATGTAATAAAATTGGTGAATGTGGTACTGCTGCGGTAGTAGCCAATAGTCTGTAAAATTTTGTTATGTAATATGATAAATTGCCGGTCCTGATCAAAACCAACCATTGTACTCGATCTGAAAAGTCACACTCATTTTCAGTACGCTGGTATATGGAATAAGATTCACTAAGATATACATAGATACTCATCGAAAAACCTCTGTTTGTACTTAATGAATTCAGTTTTACGGACACTCTGTTTATACACATACCAACAGGTATCAAAACACCCTTATACAGAATGGAATCAGTGGTTATCTTTATTTAAATTAATTACTTTGCTAGCAATCTCCCTATCGCCTTTGAAAAACTGAATTCTGATTTTTAATTGTGAATATCACCTATATCCTACTTTGTTTCCTACTTCAGTCTATTTGGAAATTTTCTGTCTTATTGGTTTTGGTTGCTTGTAAAAATTTTGGTTTTTTCAACTTTTTTTGGTCAGTTGAGTTAAAAAATTAATTTTTACTTTAGTTTTACTTTTTTTAGGTTTAAGAATAATTTGTATACGAATACAAGTTATCCGTTATTGGAGGTGTTGAAGCACTTGGTGCCCCAAAGTTTATAGGGACTTTTTTCAAAAGCTATCGGATATTAGAGGTTTTGAACTCCTAAAGCTAGAGTCTGTTTTAATTTACATTTTGCGAATATGTAAATGAAATTTTTTTGTCAAATCTTATGAAATGCATTTGAGAAGTGTTGTTTCCAGAGTACCAAAAAAAATTTTTTAATCTTTCAAAAACTCTCATCGATAGCAGTTCACCTAAATAAAACAGATTTCTGAAGTTGTTCTACAAGAGTTCTCTGAAAAAAGTCTCTGAATTTTAATCAAACAATTTTTATTGGTGGCTTTGAATGTAGCTCATAAAATTTTCAGTCTCAATTATTGGCAAATTACTTGCTGTATGAATTATTTTGTTGAAGTGGCTTGCTGAGATATTTGCTGTGAGGACTATTTAATGAAAAGAAAATCTCTTAAATATTTGTTACTTTCGCAAAGTTTTTGATTTACTTAATTTAAAAAAACTTTGAGATTTTTTTGATTAAAAATAATTTTGAAGAACTTTCCAAAACACATTGAGTCAATTGTGAAAAACACTTCCAAAAAAATTGTTATTTGAATACATGCGTTGTACTTTTGCTGTACCTATTTTTTGTGAAGAAACAAAACCCGATCGGTAAATACATGCAAAAGTATTTTTTGAAACTCGGAGGTTTCATAGTTTTCTTGTTCACTGATTGTGCTGAGTCTTTGGGTTACTTCAGGTTTTTGATGCAATATCTGGCAACGACACAATCAGCGCATCAAATCAAACATTAAACAGTTTTTTCGAAAGTCTGTAGTGACTCAATTAGTGACAGTTTACCTAAAAAGAATAGCTGATTTAAAAAATGAATCAAAAAAAACTATTGTTAATGTTTTTCTAGTCTTCTTGTGCTAGTAACAACCCTGAAAAAGCTAGTTGCTGAACTCCCGGTGATTGGTAAATTTAGAGGAGTGTTTTTCATGTCATTTTTATCAGTTTGCTTAAATTTTAAAACAACGACTGAAAAGGTTCAAGTATCATATTGCTTTTGATCCCATTTTCTAGCCGTCTCGGTTTTGTAGAGAAAAACACGTCCGTATGGTTCGGCGAATGGCACAAAAAGTTCATAATCAACTTTTCTTCAAAAAAGTTTACCGCGAGCAGGAATTTTTTCACAATCGTAAGTGCTCTGTAATTAAAACACAAGTTAATCCAAAGCCGCAGCGCTTTTGAAGTGAATAAGCGCTAAGCCTCGGAAACTGAGGAATGTAAAAATGCTGCAAGACATTACTTTGGCTTGCGAACTTGCATCTGTCCGAAATCGACTTCCAAAAGATCAGCTGGATTTTCAAGCCTCCTTTTCTAGAATCAGACTCTGACCTTGAAATTTGCCTTCGTCACCCGTTTTTCTTCATTATTCATCATTGTTTCAATGGTTACAGAATCTCTTATTGGTTTTTGAATATACACGACTAGAGCTACTCTGCTTATTTTCCAACCTTTAGCGCTCAGAAGCTCGAAATTTTTTCTAAAATTTATCTAAAATTTATTTATCTAAAATAAAAGCTCGGTATTTATCTAAAATTTTTCAAAGCTGCGAGCATTACGTTACGGGCCATGTAAAAAAAACCTGCTTCTAAAATCATTTAAAAAAGTATTTCGAGAGATGTGATACGTTTACTGGGGATGGGAGATCACTTACAAGGTGACAAGCAAAGATTGGGCGAGGATGTCTTGGAACATTCTGTGACTGTTTTAAAAAGCTTCAGAGAATTGTCAAACATACGAAAGGTGGATGGATTTAGGCTATCGGCCTTGTATCAAGGACTAAAATTTCGCATCAGGAACAGTGGGAAGAATCCTAGCTCATCAAGTTAGAGGATCTTGCGCACGCAGAAGTCCAGCAAACTTGAGAAGCAATCGATAAGGCGGGAAACGACTTACTGAATCAAACTGCTGCAGAATCAATGATTTCAGTGCCTATTGTTTGTAGAGTCGAAGCCCATCACGGCTGTACAGCTCATCACGGCGAACCGCTATTTTGCCCCTGCTTAAGAACTACATGCAACTTTTTGGTTGATATTCTGATCGTTTTTCTGATTGTTTTTTGAACAAGGATTACCGAATTGAGTGAAGAAAAGCCACCAGTCAATATCGGGGAAATAAAAGTGGCGAGTGCTTTTATGATAAAAGGGATCGCTGAAGTAGCCAACATCAGCGGAGAGTCGAGTGGCGCGTTGGAAATAGACGATTTGGATTTTGCCGATAAAATCTCAGCCATTAGCTTGACGGAAAACGATCAGAGACAAATTTTGGAGCATTAAAAATTTCATGATTGCTTTTTGAAGGTATCAAAAAACCAAGGCAAAATTTATAGGCTGAAATTTGTTTTTTTTAAAACACGCTGGAGAAGAAAAAAAATTGGGATAATCTGCAGCCAGGGCCTCGTAAGAAATAAATGACAACAAAATAATTGACAATATTTACAATAACAACTATTTAGTTTTGGGAAAAACCAATACAAATAATTATTGTCACATGAAAATAATTGCGATTTTCTCCGACACTTATTTAATTTGGCTCTATGACTGTGTCTGAACTGGTTCAATTTTAGATCCCAGTTCAATTTGATAATCAGCTTCACTGATTTTCCCGCAACTTTGGTTGACGCAATGTTTTTTAACCAGCCAAC